AGTGAGGAGGAGGTTTGCAGAGCCCCGGACAGACACACACACACACATCACTTTTCAGAGGTGGCAATGCCGTAGTGCACGGTGAGGAGGGGACTTGGTAAGTCACCAGCCAGCACTGCCAGCAGCTCGCTTGCAAACAACAGCCTGGCACTTTAAGTCCCGCTATGGGTTTTCCCCCCGCTCCCCCTGCAAAGCACCGGTATTTGCTCATAAAAGCCTCTTGCTCCACACAGCCGAACAAAACGAGGTTTCTAGGCGCTTCCCCTGGGTACTTCTTTACCGAGTCACAGCCCAAGTGTGCCCGTCAGCTCCGCTTAACGGGGAGAGCAGAGGGGACCCGCCGCCCCTCCAAGCACACAGCAGGTCGCCCGCCCGCCGCCGTGCATTGCCAGCGAGCACCGCGCAGGCTGGAAAACTTCTCCCACTTTGCCCGGCCAGGCCAGCGAAGAGTTTTCTAGAAATATCTGTAAATGAATAGCTGCCATCAATCATTGTCATTCCTTTATTTCATGTCTCCTGATGAGGTTGACTAGTGTCATTGTTTGTTACTGTCCAAACCACATCTTCATTCTTGTAATGTCAAGCAGATATGACAAGCACACATTTTCCAGATGAGTAAGATACAAAGTCACCTTTTAATTTACAGTTGTTTGGGTTTTTTTGTTTGTTGGTTTTGTTTTGGTTTTTTTTTAATAAGCAAACGTGTCGTAAAATTTACTGGATGTTCAGTTGCCTTTGGTACTAAAGCAAAGTCACTCATTAACGAAAAGAAATAAATCTGGAGTAAGAAATTCTTACAATAAAATGGCTACCTAAAGCCTTTTATAACAAGAATTCTTTTATGGAGCTTGTCCCCCGCTATTAACTTCACTGCTCTCAGAGCAAAATCTGCCAAAATTACTGCTGGAGCAAAAGAAATGCAGAGGGCAGGGAAATACATTAAAAAAAAAAAAAAAAAAAAAAAAAAAAGAAAAAAAAAAAAAGAAAGAAAGAAAGAAGAATGAGAGATTTTACTATTTTGTCTCTTCCTTTTTAAATAACAGTTAGATAAAGAGAAATACAGCCCTCAGAGGACCAAATGGTGGGACAGCCCTTTGGTTTTCTTTATTGTTGTTGTTGTTGTTGTTGTTGTTGAAATCTTTGTGTTCCCGACACCGGGAGATTTTTAAGTCGCTGATTTCAAACACTTGTAGGGAAGTGTGTGTGTGACGGGGCTAGTTAATGGAGCCAGTATAAAACACAAACTGGATAAAAATGGAACAAAATAAACCCGGCAGTATTAAAAAAAAGAGCGTAGTGTAGGTGACCAAGTGTAATATAAAAGGCCAGAGCCTGCAGTTTTCTAGAAGAAAGGTTTGTGGAGTCTGTGCTGCCAATTTACCTCCACTGGCAGCCTCCCTTCCGAGACCACCATCGAACACCTTTCAGCTGCAGTTGTGTGCAGCTTGTCTAAATATGTAAGATAACTTTTGTGGCCCTGCAGCAGCATTTTGGCTGGGCCCCCGAACAAAGAATCACCAGCGAGCTTGGCACGGCACCTTGGGAAGGGATTGTAAATTACTGGAGCATCGTATAACTTTCTTTCTTTGGTTTCTCCTTTCTTTTTAACTAGAATAACAGAGCGGGGTCAAAAAAGCAACTGTATTTGACTGAAACAATTAATTTAAAGTACTTGCAAATTAGCTGTACAGTTTGGGTGTGAATATTAGCCATTCTCATTTTGGACTTTGTTTAAAATCTCATTCAAACTGTACAAGTCATTTTGAAAGAGAGTAGATTATACATGAAACTTATGTCATATGCAGATGTTGGCATTATTTTAAATCACAGATCAGCTGTCTGAAGCAGAGTAATGATATATTTAGATTCTTTATGTATTGCCTAGGAAGTTTAATATTTTTGGTATAGTTTGATTCCTAAATTTCATCTTTAAAAGCGAGTCCATTGGAAAAATCAAAATGCAAAAATAAATTGGAAGTTGCATGACATGTTTATTTTCTAACAATTAATTAAGGGAACGTGCATTTACTGTAGGATTGTCCTTTTTAACCTGCTCCTAGTTATTCTTAAGAATTTTAAGCATCTGGCCCAGAGCAGTTATTCCATTTAAGAGACATACACGTGTGTATTACCATTTTCCAAAGACATCTCCAGTTCACACCACACCAGCTTTATCCCCGGGGTGGGTGATGTGCACCCACCCAGCCCCACAGCTCTGCCAGTGCAAAACGGTTTGCTGCCACCAGAACTGCAGTGCTGGGTGGCTGCAGGGAGAGCTGCGGCTCGTCAGCTTCCTTCCCATGGCAGAAAACCACATTTTAAGCCACCGACTGAGCAGAAGTTGTGTGGCTCATACTTTTTTGGTCCCTTACCCTCATGCGGTGCCACGTCCGATGCTGCTCTCTTTGGGTGGTTGCTCTGAGATGGTGAGATTTGGGATAAGTGGGCTTTTGAGCAGGCACCCAACGGGATGCTCAGCAAGGTGTTTCTTTGCAGTGATTAATAAAACTAAAATTGCCACCGATTATGAACAGTCATGGAAGCCATTTAAGCACCGTGTTGGTTCTTAGCTCTTGGCAGGGAACTGTCTGTGCCCTTGCCTTGGGCAGGGAGATCTTAAAAAGCCCAGGACAGACCCTCAGCTCCATCGTCACCAGCAGAGCTTTGGCTGGTTCGCACCAACCAAAGGTCTGCTCTGTGTCTCCTTGTTCGGAGAGCATAAAGTGGGAAAAAGCTTATTAGTTTGGAGTAAAAAATATTCATTTCAGATATGATTTCTAGCACATCTGCTCAAAAAAGTTCACCAGCTAAAGGGCTAGAGGACTCTTCAAATTTCCAGCTGATTTACTCAGCTCTCAGAGCCTCGTTGGCTGAGCAGGAGGATTGACAGTGTATCAGGGCTTCTAATTGAAAAGTAGTAAAATCTCTGAGCAAAGCTGGCAAATTAAGGCCTCCAGCCAATTTGTCAGCTTGCAGTCAACTCCGAGGAGCTGGGCAAAGCAGCAAGCCATTAAAAATAGTCTGATAATATCTGTTAAAACATTTTGCGGGCAGTAGGGATGGAATCGAAAACAGCACAGACAAACTCTTGGGGAGTGAATGCAATCAATCGATCATGGCCCGGAGGGACAGAGATGATGGGGCAGAAGGCTGGCAAAACAGATAGGAGCTGGCCCATGCCACCAGCCCCAGAGCTGGGTGGGCTTCATGTCCCATGCCCAGGGGTGCTGGAGATGTGCCATGGAGGTGATGTGCTCCTCGGGGAGGTTGTCCCCATCCCCCGAGCCAGCCCTTGCGCTGCCGTGGCTCTCAGCATCCGCGGTGGCTTCTTCTGTCCCCGTGCTGAGTGTACGGAGCTGCTGGTGGAGGTGGGGATTTGGGACTGGGGAGGGAGGCAGCAGGACCCATTGCGCGGAGTGAAACAAGGGAGCGGACCCTCAAAAATTAACCAGCCCTAGGCAAAAAAATCAGTGTTTATTCAGCAGGGTTTTTATAAGGAAAATTGCCAGCTACTGCTGAATTAAGTATTGCTACCAGCTAATTGAAATGTTGCATGTTTTAATTTGTCTGATTTCATTCCAGTGGGTGATGTTATTTATATAGTTTGTGTATAGCTAATGACAGACTATACAGAAAATGTAAAGATTGCTTCCAATGATCAGTAATATCTGAGAGCACAGACATCAACGGGGTATTTAGGAAGACATGCCATCCTTCACAGCTTAATGTTAAAGAGTAAAACATATATAAAAGAACACTATCTCATTATCATTTAAAGCTCTTTTTATTTGATTTGATTTGATTTTAAATTAAGGATTTTTGTTTCTTCTGGTAAAGAGGGATTTTGTTTTAAAACAAATACAGTTACCATATAGTGCTATTTTGGAAAACTGCATTTTTTGTGTCCTTTCAGCCACATTGTTTCAAGGCCACCCAGTTCCCCTAGGAGGCTATAAACAGGGGAAGGATTTAAATCCTATTCTCTTTGTCAAGGATTTGGCAAGAACCCATATAGTAGGAAGCTGAGCACAGACAAAACCGAGTGAAAGGTGTCCTTTAATTCCCCAGCCGCTGGTAGAACAAAGCCCGTTCCCAGCGGGGTCCCAGCTGGCCGCACCCAGGCTGGCTTGGTGGCTTCATTTCAACTGCTGAATTCGATGTATTTTTAGTTAACCATGTTGAGATTAATTAATTAGCCCCTAGGAGTTAGTGCCTGTAAACGTCACCCAAAGCAGAGAAGTGTGAATACGTTGAGGCTGTTAATTCACCCAAAAAAATGGCAGCTCGTAATCCAGGCAGGGGAAATTCATCCCCTCTGTTGGGATGACTGGCAGCTCCGGCGCACTGTCGGGTTACTGCCTCGGTGACAACAAACTACATCTCAATTTAACTTCTTAGCAATGTTTAAAAGAGCATCTTTTTATTTCGGTGAGGTAACATTTAAAGTTGCCATTAGGAAAAAAAAAAATAATTGCCGTGGGGTGACAAACATTGGCATTTGGATAAAGAACAACGTAACTGGTTTGATGCCTAGAAAACCTAGTAAATGTAGAGGAAAATGCTACAGCTCTAACTTCAGTAGAATGGCAGAATCTATTATAATTAACCACAACTAACTAAATAGGAGCTAATTTACTTACTGTGAGGCAAAATTCTCTTAACTCATAGCGTATTGTAAGATTCAGAGTAAGTTCTTGGGTTTGTGTTCTGGTTTTAAGTACAGAATAAATGCACTATAATGAGCAGCTGACAAGATGTTAATTCTAAAATCTTTTGCCTAAATGCAACAAGACAGTCCATAACTGATGCAAGTTGACAATGGGAGGTGAAAAGTGTACTTACTGTATAGCCTGCAAAGAGAAGATGTAATGGCAATGTAGGGAAGAGGAGATATTTAGCTTTCATGCTTCATACTATATATTTTTTTCTGTTGTATTTGTCAACTAAAGTGTCTTATATCTCTCTAAATGGTGTCTTTCTCTATATGTATAAATGAACAGATGCAGATAGAGCTCAAAAGCATGGCATGGATGAATTTATCTCTTCCAATCCCTGTAACTTTGACCACGCTTCACTCTTTGAGATGGTTCAGCGCCTCACTTTGGACCACAGACTTAATGATTCCTATTCTTGTCTGGCAAGTATATTCTTTGGTCTCTAGTGATATAAACATCAAGCAGCAAAGTCAAAGCTAGTGCAAGTGGGGGCTAATCCCCCTGTTTGCTGGAAGATTGAACTTCTGTTTACACCAGGTTTGAATTTGACCCAGAAGTATTTTCTTTTGAGAGGCTACCTGCAGTGAGCTGACTGCGGTTCTTCTCCAGTTGCACTGTCTTTACCATTTCTGTTTGCAATGCTTAAAATGTTTCTACCTGCAAAGACAAACACCAGTGTGGGGATGTGAAGTAGAGAGCAATGTTTTGCAGCCTCCCGCACTGCCTTCCAGAGTTTTCTGGATGAAAGAACAGGGGAAAGATGATGGTCTGGTACCACCTCCCATGTCAATGGAGTCCTACCAGGAGTAACTGTAGCCCAGCTTTGAGTCTCTTTATGAGCAGGGATCCCAAGCAGGTAACAGATGGGACTAGGTGGATAAATGCAGTGATGCCACAGTCTGTCCACACTCGTGGAGTCACATGCCAAGCCTGATTATTCTCATGAGCACAGGTTGGAGCGCTCAGCCCACTGCTGTGTAACATGGTCTATAGGACAGTGGCACTGAGATGCTCCAGGACAGCATGTAGCCTTTGGCTGGGGTGCAGTGCTTGGGGGTTCTTAGGTATTGTGAGGTTTTAAATGACAAATAACCTTTAACAGGACAATTTGAACAATTAATTTCTAGTGATTTCAGTGGGGAGGATGAAGAGTCTCTTAGGTTTTGAGAAAACAACAGGATGAAGCCTTTCTAGAGGGGCCTGAAATGCCAATCCTGTCCATAACATGGCATGGGACAGATCCTGGCCTGCCACCCTCCTGGTGTTGCACAGAAACCTCTACACTGGAGTGTCATTGTGGGCTTCTTCAGCAGAAGGACCACCCCGTGACAGTAGCCTTTACCTTTTGCCAGCTGTGCAGTCCCTGGAGGCAGGGCTCTTGGGTGGCTTGCTGCTAAAAGCAGCAACCCGGGAACACAACTGAGCAGTTGGCAGCAAGGTTGTCAATCTCAAATCCTGTCCTTCATGTCCCCCTCCACCGTGGTGTTCCTCTCACCTGCTCAGCTCCTTGCACCGCATGAAAGGGCTGATCTCCTCAGAAGGGCTAAGATCCAGTAAATGCCATTAGCAGTAGTGAGTTGTCACCTTCCTGCTTTTTACAGGGCTAGGAGGAATGGTTATGGCCATCCCCTGAGGTAAGGGTGGAGTGGGGGAAGGCTGCAGCGTGGACTTTACCCGCAGATACCTAAGTGGTACAAGTGGGCTTGGTGGGAGCATTGTCAGACCTGCAGCAGGTTTCTCACCGGTTCCATCGAGGTCTTTGCTCCGGCAGGCAGTGAATTTGGCATGCAGCTTCTGCTCCCCACGCATGGCTGACCCTAGGAAGACCATCCTCATCCATGCATGTCTGAAAGGTTGGCTTGCAGGTGGTTTGTCTCTGTGCAGTCTCAGGCCTGGTGAGAAAAATGTGGCTGTTGAATTAAATTCAATGGAGAGGTGCAAGGCCATCACTGAAACTGATTAACAATGTTTCTCTTCAAGAAACCCACCAGCCACACTTCTGCTTGTTATCAAGCTGTTTAGACCCTTGCTAGAAGCGACCAGAGAGGTGGAGCTCCCTTCAGCACCAAGACTTGTGCCTCTTCAGAGCAGGGCATCGCCAATTAACCATCTTCTTTCAAATCACCCATTGCAGTGTTATAAAGAAGAGAATAATGGCCTGTGATAACCTGTGCTTGGATTTCACATGCTGCTTTACTTGTTTTGCTATGATTTTGTCCTGATTATGGTGTAAAAAAACAGACTGACCTCAAAATTTGAGTTCAACTGCAAAGAGCTCCCATTGCTCTTGCTGTGTCTTTGGGATGTTGGCGACCCCACTGCGCTGGCTGGCCTGGAGGAGCTGTGAGCCCGTGGTAAGCCTGCTCTGTGCCACTGGGCAATTGTTATTCTCCCTACAGGACATTCCCATGCAAGGTCCTACAGAGTTTTACCTCATCACACCTCTTCTTGTTTTCAAACGTGGACGTGGAGGTGCCAGGGAAGACTTACCCTGACACAGAGGATAACTCGGCATTGCCTCTTTTCCGTGAAACCAGGTTAAACAACATTATTGTGAGCCCACTTGGTGGCTGAGCCAGGCATCCCTATGAAAACAAACAGGCTGGCTGACTAATCATCTCAGCTATGGCAGAAGTGATGTTTGCTGGCAGAGAGCACTGTGCTGGGGAAGGGGGAGAGCGTTTTTGAGCGTTGTCTGCATCGCTTGCTGAGGGTTCCTGCCCATCGTCCACAGACTGGTAGCACGGTTGTATTCACAGCTCTTCCTGGACTTTTGGGAAGACTATGCAGCTCTTCCAGCTTGGTATGGACCCCACACGTGTCTGGGTCTTCATTCCTTTCTGCTTGGACATGTGTGTTATTTCTGAGACTGCCCTTCAACTCTTTCCAAGACTTCCCAACCCACTGCCAGCATCCAGCTCACGCAGCCAGGTCCGTACTGGAGCAGGATTGCCGGTGATGTGTCAGCATTCATGGGATTCACGTAATACAGCACGGCACGTACTGAGGAAAGGTGATCTTCCAGAGTGCCCAGCTTAGCTGAGATGATGTGAAGGAGGCAGATTAAAAGGTCCATGAAACAGGCTACTAAAATGAAATTGTTTTGTTTTACCTATGGGAGATGAGAAAGTTCAGCTACTGAGAAGTGAAAATTTTCCTTCGCAAACCCTGGTTTTCACAAAAGCTTCATCTGCCATTAGAAAAATTGCCAGTGATTCACCAACCTTGACCAAGCCTTGCTTTGTCCAGCTTCAAAGCTCCCGCACTGCACTCCCCACTGGTGCCTGGGACACGTGTCCCCTTCTCAATGCAGTTCAGCTTGTTCAACACAGTCAGTTGAGTTCCCTGTGCTCCACAGCTTTCCTTCAATGTCCTCTCTAGGTTTCCTCATGCAGTTGAAGACCACCTGGGAGACCAAACTGAGCTACACCTAGCTGCATTGGGGTGAGACACCGGGTGTGTCACCACTATCAGCTGTGTTTGCCAGACTGGCTGGTTGTCAGCTGGTTGCACCAGGGAGATCTTAATCAAGAGCCAGGATCTGCCTGAAGATGTGGGGGATTTGTCTGAATACTGCCTTTTGTCACACTTCACATTTTTTTTCTGGGGTTGTGGGAAGCAGCATTTACTGCTCCTCTGGAGTCCCATTCAGCAGCAGGACTTTCATTTCCTTGTATTTTCAAAAGGAGACCACCTGGTCCTCCTGGGCTCTGGATCTCTTCACCCATAGTCTGCTTGCCCATGCTTTCATGAGGTATCCTGATAGGAGGCTCATCACTGAACCTCTGAGCTTCTGTTCAGGCTTCCCCTTAGTGGGCTATGGCAGCAACCTTGAGTGGTTGCCCCCATCCCTTCTGTCCACCTGAGGACCAGCACTTCTCAGAGCCTGGTACAGCAGAGCAATGTGGGGTACCCTGGATCGCTGGGTCCAGCCTCCTGCTTCTTTCACCCCAAACTCTGGGCTTGATACCTGGCTGCAGTGAAATTAGTGCCAGGCCTTCCCATTGGTTATCAGTAGGGCCAAAATTTCACCCCACAGGGAGAACAGAGTCCTTTGCATGTATTAGGTGAATAAAACCATTTCAGCTGTGTTTCTACCCCAGTAACCAATGCACACGTTTTTATCACAGAACAGTTACGACATTTCTATATTTTTTTGCCATGCCTGACCTCCAAAACTTGGGTGAAGAGAGGCAAGGTGAAGAGATGGACCAAGGATGTAACAAACAGGCAACGTAAAGAAATCCAGAATCAAGCATAATACCACCAACCAAAAAGCAAACAAAAATACCGTTAAAAGCGATGAAGGCAAATATACCCCTCCCCAAAAAATAGCCTTCCAGAGTGATGTCCCATCTGCATTGTTCTGTGGCTTCATTTTGAAATGTGCACTTCTAGTGATCCCAGCACTGTAGCTACTCCCTATATCTATCATTTTCCCCTCATTATTTTAATTCTTTTCTCAATCTGTTTTGGAGTTGGCCCAATAAGGATGAGCAAATCCTTCTCTATGTCTTTGAGCTCTTAATTGATATTTCTTCAACTCTTTTCAAAGCAGCTATTTTGGCATCTAGAAAAGATTTGGTGTCATCTGAGTGGTAGAAAATATATTTTAATCTTTCACAGCAGTGTTGTTTCTAAGATGTAGCATTTGGGGTAACAGATGGGGTGGCAAAGAAGTTGCCTATAGGGGCAGTGCTCTGCCTCAACTACTCTCCCGCCCGCTGCAGGAACTTTTCAATTAAACGATGAAAGATTTTGCAGCTTGATGCATTCCAGAGCTGCGTCTTAGCAATTGTTTAGCACCCAAATTTCCATGTAAATATTGACAGTTTTGCAGCATTTTGAAAAGCAATCTACAAGAATATTCTTGTTCCCACTACCGCCTTTCCCAAAGGCAGAGGCGTGCTCCGCTTTGGCTGTCCCGGGACATGCACCAGAGCCGTCCCCTTGCAGGGAAGGGTGTCCTCCTTGGGAACACGGATGTTGCACCACAAGCCATGTGTCACCAGGCCCTCAGGACTGACAGACAGAAATAGTGTGAGGTTCCTGGATGTGTAAAAAAACCCTGCTCGTGAGCAGAGCTTCCCTTGCTTCGATGCCGAAGAGGTGGGTGATGGCAGAGCACGTCGCCGGCAGTACGCAATAAGGACGATGGGAAAAGTCCCTTTCTGATACTGTGGAGCTGCTTTCCTCTGCAGGACATTCCTACCTGCCAGATGCAAAAGTAGTCATTATTCAGTGTAATCTGCTGTGCTCTCCCCTAGATCAGTCTTCTTGCTCCTGGACAAATGTACGGTCCCATCCCTGAAATGAAATTACTCTTTCATGCTGTTCAAATAACCAAACCTTTGTCCTCTCTTAAAGGTGTAAATCTTTTTTTGTTGTTGTTTTGCCTTTTTTTTTTTCCTTTTTTTTTTTTTGCTAGGCACTGACATGAAGTGGCCTAAATTTTCAGCATATTAAGTGTCATTTCCCTTTAATGGTAGCATAATATGTTTTTGTTAACAGTTGCACTGAGTATATTTTGTGTTTGGGTGATGATATACAGACTGTATTGTTTAAGTGTGACCTCTCTCCTTTTTCCTTAACGTAGCCTTATGTTTGTATTTCTTTTATTAGAACAGTTGACCACTACACCTCCAAATCTGATAGCCTTTGTGTTTAATAACTTATATTTAAAATCAAGTCTCTTTATTTCTAAACAGGGCTGGTTTAGTCCTGGCCAGGTCTTTGTGCTAGATGAGTATTGTGCACGTAATGGAGTGAGAGGCTGTCACAGACATCTCTGCTACCTCAGAGATTTGCTAGAGCGCGCAGAAAATGGAGCTATGATTGACCCCACCTTACTTCACTACAGCTTTGCCTTTTGTGCATCACATGTTCATGGCAACAGGTAAGGAATTCTTCTTGACTAGCAGCTCCCTGCCAGCAAGGGATGACTTTGTCAAATACAGGTTTCCCTGGATAATGCACAACAGTCCTCAATTTGTTTTCACAGTGGATGTTTGGCAGCAGCGCTTCTAGTGGCGTAGTTGGTTTGTTTGTTTGTTTCGTTGCTTGTTTAATGTAAGCAATAAAAATGCACATAGAGGATCCAGAAATTAGGGGGTTTTAACTTTCTTACCCCAGCGCCTGCTAGATGCAGTTCTGGACAAGATAGAGTTGAAGTACATGTGACTGTCACGGGTTGAATGAATAGAAGAAAACCATGCACTGTGCTGGTTTAATTATTGTGCGAGAGGATCTGACAAGTTGCAGCAGTGAAATTTTCAGCAGCATCAAACTTCAGTGTTCAGAAGGGCTTTAAGCCCTCGGGCACCCATGTCTCATTTAAAGTCCACGTGACGTCAGTTTGGAAATTGCTTAGACTTAACTGAAAATTTTATCTTGCTGCTGTCACAAAACAATTTCCATTTCAGAACTAGCCTGTTCCTTTCTCTCAAATGTGGCAAACCTTTGATGGGAGGAACTGGATCTGGGCTTTTTCCTGTTCTATTTATTTTGTTGACAACTGTAGCATCTATTGCAGCTTCTTTTTCTGCTCTTTTTCTGTGAAGTTGCATTCTATACTTTGAGATACCGTTCTCTATCCTGCATATGCTGCCGAAGAAAGGAATGTTATAAAATAATTATGTGTTTCCATAAACCCCCTGGTAAATACTGTAACAAATTATGACACGCATTGCCCAGGTTTCACGTTGCAAGGCTGCCGCTTGCGTTTGCAGTTCCTTTCATACATCTTGTCATGGAAACTGAGTTTTTGCTTCCTTAGTTTCTTTTTAGTTCTGACTTTCTTTTGTTCGTTCATTCCTTCTTTGCCAATTGTTATTTGATTTCACTTGTTTCCTTTCAGTTTAGTTTCCTTTTGGTTTATTTTGAGTTTTTTCATGGTTTCTTCTTGTTTCTTTCACTTTTGCTGCTGGCCTTGCCCCCCACCTTTCAATCACTCCCCAAAGCCAACGCATGGCAGAATTACTTGGTGGGTCACAGCCAAGTGCAGACGGCGATGGGGGCAAAGCGTCTCATGCCCCTGCCGCTGAACCGGAGACAAAAAAGGATTCCAAAAAGGAGTCCAAAAAAAGGAAAGATTCCAAATCCCAGCCGAATCCAGAGCCAAAAAGGTAAGCAAAAGCGTGCAGTGCACAGAAGTGTGTTGTAGAGGGCACCAGGCTCCTCAGTCACTGAGCACACTGGGCAGCGTGTGTCCCTGCGGCACGGGGAGACCCGCTGTGGCACCGGCATTCGGGTTGTACACTCTCCTGGGAGTTGGATGGCATGTGGGCACCCAAGTCCCGTAGAGGGTCAGGGCCTTGAGGTTTTTAGGTGTGTTTAGGAGATCACTGACATGGCATGGAGGGGATGAGACTGGGCAGGGGAAACTGGCTGTCCCCATCTCCCCACTTCCATAGACAGGGCTCATCCTGGCAGGATGAGGAGGCTGTTGTGGGGACAGGGCCTGGTTCAAAGTCTGTTCGGCCCAGAGTGGAGGTCAGATGCTGATCACAGCTACCCCAGGTACCTCTTCACAGGATCCAGTGTAGTCTGAGCTGGAACCTCCTCTTCATCAGGGCTGGTGGCAGGAGGTATCTGACAGGACTGGCCAAGGTGACAACCCACCATCCCCTCCATGTGGAGCTGGAAGCTCAGGAAAATGTCTTGCTCCAAAACCCATGTGGTGTGTAGACCCCAGTCCCGTGCCTGTGCAGCTGCCCAGGGCTGCGTGTGGCTGCTGTGCCATGCCAGGAGTCTGCTGGGCACAGACAGGAGGGGCAGCTCGACCACAGCCAGGCTGTTTGAGTAATTTGTTTCAAGTGTCCCAAGCAGGGAACGAGGTGCTTTGCTATGACTTAGCTGTCTTTAGCTGGTGATTGACTTCACATTGAAAGGCTGAAGGTTCATATTCCTTCTTGGTCGCTGCTGTCTCTCTGTTGGCTGGGGATTTCGGGAGCTGCAAGGCTGCAGCATCGCCCTTTCTCATCCAGGGCCAACTCTGTGTAACGCCCAGGAACCGGAGGAGTTTGGTACAGAGACTGCAGGGTGTGTTTTCTGGCCTCTGCTATCAGGAGGTCACAAAAAGGGACCACAGCGGGTCTGAGAGAAAACATGAGTCCATATCTTTGCTGTCTACTGTCAGATATCTGAATATCTGAGCAGAAGAGTCACGATTTCTTTTCAGAAAGCCGTTTAGGCCACGTGCATCGTGCATTTGTGAGCTGGCTGGCAGAGAGCGACAGAAAGCCGGTGTTTACCCGCGCAGTCCTTACTGGCAGTTGCGACATGCGTAAAGCTGGGTTCACTTTATCTACATCCCTTCCTCCCACCTGCTGTGACCATACGTTGCCCGTTGCCTTACGGCTGGCCATGCTCTCCCTGGGAAACCTATAGCTCATGGCAGAGCTGAAAACTTTCTGTGTAAAATTTACCGAGGTGGGAGTGCACCTTCCCTGGGACTAGGCACAGCGTCTGACGGAGTGTCTTGGAGCAGCCTTGCATTGCGTTGTTGTTGGTGTACACAGTGGTCTGGGAAAGATTCAAGTTATGAGATATTTTTCTGTTTAAAAAAGGCTTATTTTTCTGTAAAATCTGAGAAAGTGTCAATTTTCTTTATAAAAGGAAGTTCCTTCACTTTTATAGACAGCAGAAGAACCCAAATGAGTGGTTTAGCTTTCCCCAGAATGAAGTTGGCTGTCAGTCAGAATATGCCAGCCAGTAAAGAAGGTCGAGCAGGGAGATGATTTCGTGTGGCTATCAATCGCCTGTATTAGCAGCAGACAGTGATGGAGCTGAGGTGGGCTGTCTGTTTGTATCGTGTTTGCGTAAGGTCAGGCAGCGAGACAACAGTCGCTCGCAGTCAGCGGGGAAGTGCGGGCAGGCTGCGGTGCGGATGCTGAGGACAGCCTGAAGGTCAAGGCTGACAGGATGACAGGCGTCAGCGCGGGGACGATGCCTCCTCGCCTGTCCGGCTCCTGCCTCGGTGGCACGACCACGCCACCGCAGCCGGGACGGGAGCAGGATGGCTGCTGGTGGAAATGCACCTCCAGCTTGGACCTGACCCTGTGGCCGCAGCAGGTGAAATGGTCAAAACAGGATTTTGGGGGCTGTTTTGGAGCCCTGTTACTTTATATGTCAAGGGTTTGGTTCTCTCCCCCTCCCTTGGGCTCATGTATCTTGCTCAGACCCTTGGAAGCCTGACATAATCTCTCCAAACCAAGGCTGTGAATCACTGCTATTTGCATGACAGTCCCCTTAATTTTTCTGTTCATTTCATCCTTTTCCAAGTAAAAATGGAGTTAAATGTAAATTGTTTGTCCTAAGTTTCACCTCCTGCAGACACCTGAATATATAAGGTGCAGGCTGTCAGAAAGGCAGGGACCAGCCAAAGACCGTGAATATCCACATGGTTTTCTGCTGCCTAGGTCCTTGCTCTTCACTAAGACTGAGGAGCTCGAGGCTTTGTCACTGTTGTGGTCACTACTGAGTTGATAACAGGGTTTTGTCCACCAGGTATCACTGGATGCCTTTTATAAAGTCCTGCCATTATGAAAGCTATTGTGATTTCTGATGTATTTACCTAGGTGACAGGTAAGAAAGGCATAGTGTTATTCAGGCATCCACTGGCTGTTTATTCATATTTATTTCCTTTTGGTACCACCACCATAGTATTGAAGTTATTATTTTTCTTT